TTTAAAGAATAGTCAGAAGAAAAAGTGACAGAAGAGATGCCTAGTGCACCACTGATGGAAAATTAAATAAACCCAACTGGAGGTGATAGCTTTTCTTAGAGAAAGCCTTCTTTTTACCATTCTGGCAATAAGAGTGGTTAAAAAAAAGAAGCCCTACTTCTCCACACTTATTGTGTCCTCCCAGTGCTGGCCAGCATCCCATTTAGAGAAATCCAGGTGGGAAGGAGGGACTAATGAAGCATTTACAGAGTTCTGTAAGGATAGTCTTAATATTTGGTGGATAAAATCACTCTGATTTTCTATTATTTTAATTCCATCTGGGTAGGCCCACTCTTGTGATTTTATCCAAGTTTAAGCCTATTAGTCCTAAGGAAGTGTATAGGCACTTATATGCTTGATTCATGCCCCTCTTGGTTGGTTAAGATATCCAGGGAGGAGGTACATAAGTGGATCCATGTGGTAGTTAATACCTCTTTAATTTTCCACTTCTGAAAGAGGTGGTGATACATCCCCTCCTCAAAAGATCATCCTTGTATCCAGCTGATCTGGGCAACTTTCAAGCAATCTTCTTTTTGTGGGGTGCCTTGGGGGCTCTACCTTGGGGGCTCTTTCCTTTTTTATTATTTATATAAAGCCACTGGGTAAGATAACATGTTGTTATGAGGATAAATATTATCAATATGCTGATGATACCAAATGATACATCTTTGCCCTTGGCCATCCAAATGAAACTATTGAATTTCTGTCCCAGTATCTGGACACTATGAAGGTCTTGATTGGGAAGAACAGATTGCATTGCATTGCTATTTCACCAAAACTGAGTGGCTACAGATTCTAGGTCGCTCAGATCTAGAGCTAAATTGTTACCACCTGGTTCTGGGCAGAGTGGCACTGTCTTGTTTAGACTTGGTGTGCAATTTCAAGAACATCTGCCTGATTCACATACCCCCATAGGGAAAGCATGCTCTAGGTTTTCTCCATACACTGCCTGTCAGCCATGGAAGTCATATTAGGCTGGAAGCTTCAATGCTTCCAATAAGATAAGCTCTTATTCCTCTAGTGTGCCTATGGAACATTTGCTGCCTAGAGTCATTTGTTGAGGTGGATGGTCCTACCAATTAAATTATCATTTTAATCTGGGCTGTATATTAATGTTTAGCTGTTTTTTATGTTTTCTCTAATTTTGTATGCTGTTCAGAGTCCAGTGGGTTTAGGTGGCCAATAAATGTAAATTATACTCATAATACTGTAAATAATAAATTGTTCCTCAAGTTTATTTATTTATTTAATTTATTTATTGAATTTCTATACCGCCCTTCTCCCAAAGGACTCAGGGCGGTGAACAGATTAAGATTTCATATACGTATATATATTTTTTTATAAACAGTAAATAATAAATTGAGTCAACTTGGTGTATCTGCTAAGACCTTAGCATAGAATTTAGATGTTTATGCTAGCCCTGCTTGTTGAAACAGAAAGGTCTTCAGGAAACGTCAGAAAGTGCGAAGATCTGGGATTATTCGTATTCCAGGAGGTATTTTGTTCCAAAGAGTAGGTGTCCCCACAGAGAAGGCTCTCTCCCTTGGAACTATTAGATGACATTGTTTTAATGATGGTACTATGAGTAGGCCTACTCTGTGAGAGCGTATTGGTTGGTGGGAGGTTATCAGTTGCAGCAGGTGGTCTCGTAAGTACTCAGGTCCTAAGCCATGGAGCACTTTAAAGTTAAGAACCAACACCTTGAAGCGCACACGGAAGGCCACCGGAAGCCAGTGCAGCTCGTGGAGGTGTTACATGTTGCTGTCATAATTACTCGCGCGACCGCATTCTGGACCAGTTGGAACTTCCGGGTACACTTCAAGGGGAGCCCCATGTAGAGAGCATTGCAGTAGTCAAGTCGGGAAATGACGAGGGTTTGAGTGACTGTGCATAATGAGTCCCGGTCTAGAAAGGGACGCAATTGGCGAATCAGGCGAACCTGATAGAAAGCTCCTCTGGCCACAGCTGTTATATGATCTTCTACAGACAGTCGTGCATCCAGGAGGATGCCTAAATTGTGAGCTTTCTCTGCAGGGGTCAATGACTCATCCCCAATATTTAGTGATGGGACTAACTGGCTGTACCGGGACACCAGCAGCCACAGCCACTCAGTCTTGGAAGGGTTGAATCGAAGCCTGTTTCTCCCCATCCAGACCCGTACGGCCTCAAGGCACCGGGACATCACTTCAAGGGCATCATTGGGATGGTTTGTGGTGGAGGTGTACAGCTGAGTGTCATCAGCGTACAGATGACATTGCATTCCAAAACCATGGATGATCTCACCCAATGGCTTCACATAAATGTTGAACAGGAGAGGCGAGAGGACCGACCCCTGTGGCACCCCGCAAGTAAGGGGCCTTGAGGTCGATCTCTGTCCACCTGTCAACACTGACTGCGAACTGTCAGAGAGGTAGGACGAGAACCACCATAATATGGTGCCTCCCACTCCCAGCCCCTCCAACCAGTGCAGCATGATACATGATCAATGGTATCAAAAGCCGCTGAGAGATCTAATAGGACCAGGATAGAGGAACATCCCCTATCCCGAGCCCTCCAGAGATCATCAACCAACGCGACCAATGCTGTTTCTGTGCTGTATCCAGGCCTGAAGCCGGACTGGAACGAGTCTAGATAGACAGCTTCATCCAGGTACTGTGGGAGCTGTCGTGCCACCACACTTTTGACAACCTTCGCTAAAAAGCGAAGGTTGGAGACTGGATGGTAGTTTGCTAAAACAGCCGGATCCAGAGAGGGCTTCTTAAGGAGGGGTCTCACCACCGCTTCTTTCAAGGCAGGAGGTAAGAATCTCTCGCTCAGAGAAGTGTTAATAATTCTCTGGAGCCAGCTACGTATAACCTCCTGGATAGCCAGCACTAGCCAGGAAGGGCATGGGTCCAATAAACATGTGGTCGCATTCAGCTTCCCCAGTAACCTGTCCACGTCCTCAGGAGTCACAGTATCAAACTCATCCCAGATAATGTTCTCAAGATCTGCCCTCATCATTTCATCCGAATTAACCCAGTTAGAGCCCAAGCCTTCCCGAATCTGAGCGATTTTATCATGCAAATATTGTGCAAAATCCTCAGCTCGTCCTTGCAGAGGGTCTTCCCGGGCTCTCAGCTGGAGTAGAGAGTGGGTAACCCTAAACAAGGCAGCTGGGTGATTATCTGCTGATCCAATAAGAGCGGAAAAATAGTTACATTTTGCCACTTTTATCACCACCAAGTAGGTCTTAATATAAGATATAACTAGTGTTTGGTCGGATTCGGAACGGCTGGTCTTTCAACTGCTCTCTAGGCATCTTTTCCGGTGTTTCATCCCCCTCAGTTCATCAGAGAACCAAGGAGCTGGGTAGGTTCGATGCCGGGTCAGAGGCCACAAAGGCACGACCCGGTCTGAAGCACCAGTGGCCATCCTATCCCAGGACACCACTAGGTCTTCAGCCGAGTCATGAGCCAAGGTCTCAGGAAATGGCCCAAGCTCCATATGGAACCTATCAGGATCCATCAGGTGCCTGGGGCGGAACCATTTAATTGATTCCGCCTCCCTGCGGTGGGTTGTAGTGGTCAGAAGGTCAAGCTTAAGGAGAGAATGGTCTGACCATGACAAGGGTTTGATGACTATATCGCCTATATCTAGACCATTCAGCCACTGGTCAGAGATAAAAATCAAATCCAGAGTGTGTCCCCCCCGTGTGAGTAGGGCCATGAACTAATTGGGTCAGGTCCATGGCCGTCATGGAAGCCATAAACTCCCGAGCCCCTTCAGACGTTTCACCAATGGATGGCAGATTGAAATCTCCCATAACCAGTAGCTTAGGAGTCTCAACTGCCACCTCGACTATTACGTTGAGGAGCTCAGGCAGGGCTGCTGATACATGGCAGGGAGCCAGGTACGCAATCAACAGGCCCATCTGTAACCCATAACCCCACTTCACGAGGAGGGACTCACATCCGGTTGTCTGAGGAACAGTGACTTCCCTAGGGTCAAGACCTTCCTTTATAATGACCGCCACACCTCCACCCCTGCCCCAAATCCTTGGCTGATGGAATGCGTGGAAACCTGGTGGGCACATTTCTAAGAGGAGGACCCCCCCTTCATTGCCCAACCAGGTCTCTGTAATACCTGCCAGGTCTGCTTTCCCCTCCTGAATTAGGCCACAAATGAGGGGGGCTTTGTTAGCCGCGGACCTGGCGTTGCATAACATCAGCCTAAGACTCGGACTCTGAGACCTTGAGCAACCCAAGGAACGAGAAGAGCTTTGGAGGTCGGAGCACACCACCGCTTGAAGATAGTAGGTGCGTACCCCCCTGACATAATGTGGCCTCCTGCTCCCACCATATCTGCCCCTCCCAACCATAACCTTGATGGAACAGCCCATTTCCATGCCAGTATTAAGTCTGCCTATTCCCAGTTCCAAGTTTCCTATGATGTAATTTTATATTGACTTTGGCTTCACTTTTGGAAAATTATTTATTAATCCCTCCCTCTGTGGATTGCCCCCAAATCCACATGATCCACCCTGTTTATACCCACCCCCCTTTCAGAAGCCATTAAGATTTTGGTTAGAAAATTAGATAAGAAAGGCCTTAATCCCCTCTTAGCACCATGCCACTTCTCAGGATTCCAAAATCCGTCATCAAGGTAGGCTCTCGATAATGTGGAGGGCCAAATTTGTGAGAGGGGGGAGTCTCGCAATGCCAAGAGTTCGGTCACAAAATACATCTAGTAAGTCAGATGGGTATAGCATTTGGGTCTGGTCCAACAGTCTGATGTAAGAGTCTTGAGGCAGGAGAGTAATGAATTCAGTGTGGGTAAGAAACTGGTCTCCCTTGCCCTCTCACGGCAGGGGGAAGGAGTTTAGTGCTATCTCAGGATGGACAGAGGATAAAAATCTAGTCATTTTCTCATGGCGGCTTGTTCTGAATGAGATGGACATAATAAATTTGTTGTTCCGTCTGCTCAAATGATGTCAGTAATTCGAAACTCCCTCAGCATCCACATTAGTAGCTGCCCAGACAACGTATGACAAGAGGGTGGCTCAGTTGGAAATAAAGCCAAACAGTGAAGGTAGAATGATAATAGCTCCATGGGGGGGGGTAGATGTATATAAAGAGGGAAGGTAGTCTAGATGGTGAAAGTATAGTCTGGAGGCAGCTAGGTCAGTGTCAAAATCAAGGTGGTAATGTATAAGCTGGAGGCGGCTGGGTTAGGGACTAGCCGAGGCAGAGAATTGAGAAAGGTGGGGGAGGCCTCCAAGGTGACCAGGTAGATAGTCTTTTGTCAACCTCTGGCCTCTCCTACTCTCGGCATATTGAATAGTCATCTGCATATATTGCCAGGCTCCAGACTTTAGCTTATAATGATGTCTTCCAATTCCAGCAAGAGTCTAAACACCTTGTGTGATTCAGGGCACTCAAGGCACTCCAGGGGTTAATAGTTTTTAGATTCCCTCTGATGACGTTGCAAGCTGTCACTGGCCTTAGCTCAGGCCTCTTGAACAGGTAGTCATTATCGCCCCAGCAGCTATCGTCGGTGAGGGCAACTTCAGGTTTCCCAGCAAGTCCCCAAACCAATTCGGAGCCCCCAGGGTGTCTAGGGCTTGACAGGGACTGCCATGGTGCTGTTTGTCACCGCCACCCACCGCCATTGTCGTTCCAACCGCCGTTGCTTTAAGAATGGAGGAACTGATGTAACTGCCATTAACGGAACTGCTAGAGTTAGCCTCCCATGGGGCCTTCACATGCCAATATCTGCCCAGTTCCGATGATCTAGAGGGTGAGAGAAACCTCATTGAGCTGGTAAAAGGCTCCCCTAGTTAGTGCTGGGGCTGAAGGGAGTTAAATCAGCCCCGGTGGACCTCCAAATGACCTAAAGCCGCCCCATCATCAGACGGAGATTAGGCGAGAGCTGCCATCTTGGCACATGGTGACTGATTCCAGTTCTGTTGGTCCTGACCCTGCTTACCTTTTGTCTTGGTTCTTTGCCCAGGCTTAAGGCCCAAATGTGTGAAGAAACCATCCAATGTGTTAATGATTAGGATAATTTTTTTGCAGCAGCTGTATTTTAATTTTTGTATTTGTTGTTGTAATTTTAATATTATTTGATGCTGGCTGAGAGTTACTTGTTGACTAAAACTGATTAAATAAAATGTCACATTGTTTGAGTTGAACAGCCTCATAAATCCATTTAATAAATAAATACGTTATTTATATGTTATCATTAATTAATAGTCCAAAAAATCTTTGAAAGTACATGAAAGAGTGTATATATTGTACATATATCATACAAAGATAGCTGCCACTTATTTTTCTGCTCCCCACATATTTATAGATCCACTTTCAGAAGAGAAAGCTCCTATCTTTAATAACTTTTAAAAAATTAAAATCAAAATATAGAGATCTAATCAAACCCATTATCATTACAACTTAATAGCTGGTAATAAAACCGAGAACATTAGTTTCAACAAAGAACAGCAAGAGAGACTTAGTTCATTAGTTGTGAAATGGTTCCAAACATTGTTGTGACTCATTGTCTCAAATGTGTTTGGGACACATGAATGCAAGTGGACACATGCAGGGTTTAACTTATACATTGTAAGTTGTGTTTTCTATTCAATAAAATAAAAAGCTCCAAATAAATAAGTAAAAGTTATTGGGGGAATCTCAAAGATATACATTCATTCCTTTTGAAGTGTGTGCATTTTTCAAATTAGACTATTTGCTATGTGCTCAATATATAAACTCCAGGAAACAAAAAGTGAAACTCCAATACACATCTCAATACACATCTCAATTTAACATAAACTGTTAGCTAGAATAATCCTATTATATTAATTTAATCCTATATGTCAGCTCCAAAATACCTTAGTTGCATTTAACTCCTGACATTATTTACAGATTTTAAGCCCTATAACCAACTGGGTTACAAAGAGTGAAACAAAATTAATCCCTTCACCACCATAGCTTTAGTTTAAATAGGGATGTTTTAATAAACTAAATAGGAAAACAATTATTGAAATAAGCTCCTTTATCCATGTATTATTTCTCCACATAATCACTATCATTCTGTATGTCCTTTTTTGCAGTGATGAACAAGCTACTGAAAACCATCAGGAAATAACTCCCCATTTTGAATGCTCAACCAGATACTGATAGTTATTTTCACCTCTTCATCCGAGTCAAAGAGATGTCTACAAAAGTATTCCTTCAATTTTTGGGAAAAGATGGAAATAGCTTAGTGCCAACATTGAATGGCAAATGAATAAACAACACATCCAATTTACAATTGCCTTTAGGGTGGCTTGTAACTTGTAAGGTCTAGCATTGTTGTATTGCATTAAAATTTCTTTCCAAAAGAATTCTAAATTCTCTTTAATCATTGTTTTAAAGTTTTCAATATAGTGATCTGAGTTGCTATCAGTACCAGGGGACAAGAAAATTCACATGAATGATACCACCTGTATCATCCCAACCTGTAACAATCAGTTTTTTTTTTTGTGGAAGCCTGGATTTTGACTTTTTTTCCTTGCAGGTAAAATATTTGTAATGATATTCCATGAATTAATGCTTCATTTCTGGATCATAATGATAACTAAAGTTTTGTCAGCAATCACAACGCTGTGAAGAAATTCCTAATCTGTATCTTTGTATCACAATAAATTTGTGGACAAATTTCAACTGTTGAAACTTCATTTCTGCTAACAGCATGCAAGGAACTCATCTTGCACAAATTTTTCACTATTTAAGAACGTCACTAATGTGACTAAACATTCCTGTGATATGCCAAGCTTAACAATAATTTCCCTTTGTTCTGATTGTTGATTGTTCTTAATTGTCCATCAACATTTTCACGTAAAATGTAATCAGAATAGAGCTGGAAGAGACCTTGGAAGTCTTCTAGCCCAACCACTTGCTGAGCACATTGTAAGCCGCCCTGAGTCTTCGGAGAAGGGCAGCATATAAATCAAATTAAAAAAAAAAAAAGCAGGAGACCCTATACAGACAGGTAAATGCCCAATCTCTTCTTAAAAACCTCCAGTGATGAAGCACCTACAACTTCTGAGGGCAAGCTGTTTCACTGGTTATTTGTCCTCACTGTTAGGAAATGTCTCCTTAGTTCCAGTTGCTTCTTAGTTGCTTCTCTCCTTGATTAGTTTCCATCCATTGTTTCTTGTCCTACCTACAAGTGCTTTGTAAATAAGTTGACCCCCTCCTCTTTGTGGCAACCTCTCAAATACTGGAATACTGCTATCATGTTACCCCCTAGCCCTTCTTTTCTCTAGACTAGACAAACCGAAATCCTACAACCATTCTTCATATATTTTAGTCTTCAGGCTTAAGATGAATATCTTAGTTGCTCTTCTTTGTACTTTTTCCAAAGTCTCAACATCTTTTTGGTAATGTGGTGACTCAAATTGGGTGCACTATTTCAGATGTAGCCTTACTGAGGCTTTATAAAGCGATACTAATACTTCACATGGTTTTGATTCTATGCCTCTGTTTATACAAGCAAGGATTGTATTAGCTTTTTTGGTGGCTGCTGCACACTGCTAGTTTATATTTAAATGCTTGCCTACTAGGTCTCTAACCTCTCACAGTTACTATTTTTGAGCCAGGTTTTGCCTAATCTGTACTTGTACTTGTACCTTTGGTTTTTCCTGCCTAGGTGTAAAACCTTGCTTTTCTCCAGATTAAATTTTATGTTGTTGGATAGGGCCCATTGTTCAAGTCTGTCAAGATCTTTTTGGATCCTGAGCTTGACTTCAGGGCTGTTGGCTATTCTTGCCAGTTTAGTGTCATCTGCAAATTTGATGAGTTCTCCTTCTATTCCCTCATCTAAGTCATTTATGAAAATATTGAAGGGTACTGGGCCTAAGATGGAACCCTATGGCACCCCACTGCTTAATTCCCTCCATGTAGATCTAGTACCATTAGGGACAACTTGTTGAGTATGGCTTGTCAGCCAATTACAAATCCATCTGGTGGTAATGCTGTCTGTCCCTATTTATTGTTACATCTCACAGATTGTATATTTTATTCTGTCACAGATTGTCTATTTCATTGTTGATGAAACAAATCAACCCAATTTGCCAAGTAAATATTTTTGGCGCAGTGATACACAATATTCAAATCAGCAGTCACCACCATAAACAACCTGAATTTGGTGGTGAATCTCAGTTGCAGGGACTCCTCTAGTAGTCAAAAATTCAATCCCAGCTTGTTACTTAAAGCTCACTGATTGCAAGCTTTCATTTTAAAACAAAAGTATCACAACCTGTTCTCACAGTAATTTCATGTCAACATAAAACATGTCATGTCAGAACAAAAAAACAAATATTAAACATCAGAGCTTCAATATATCAGTACTGCCATCTGTTGGTAATATAATATTGAAGCATCACTTTTCATTCAACCCTTATATAACAAGGCAGTCTCCTCCTGTATACTTTTCTCCAGAAGTTAAGGTGATGAGAAAATCATTGTGGAGATATTCTTCTACTTAAAGCTATCTTAACTTTCATGGTCTTTGGATGAACTTTGTTTCTTTGGGCATTCTTCTCCTTTTATTTCATTTTAGCTTTAAAGAATAAGCCAAGGAACTTAAGATCTTTTCTTTTTGGTTCCAGATTAGATGCTCATAATTTGAATCAAAATTAGGCAAACCCAATATTAGTAATGTAGTCAACTGAATTTAAAAGATTAAATATAACTTTGTCAGTCAGTTAAATTTTGGGTGAAAATTTATTTTAAAAGGCATAAAAAGACTAACTGCTAATACTAGTATGGCAAATAATGACTGTTCAGCCAAGATCATGACACATACTGAATCATAACATTGCCAACCAGATTTTAGCAGAAAGTATTTTGAGAGTTCATTTAATTTATGGTTCAGTTTACTGTGCAGGCACAGAAAATTATGTTAATCATAGTGCAATTAACTACCATGAGTTAGCATGTTGTGTAAACACAGTATTTATGAAAAGAACAATAGACTCCCATTTTGAATGAGTTGACAGGTCATCAATTTGAGCTTTGTGATATCTCAAGAGCCCACACAATTTTCCAGGAATGCATTATGTAAGCTGCCTAAAATTGCTCTAGCTACTGAAGCCAATTTAAGAAGTAAATAAATGAATAGCCAAGACAAATTGACCAGAGCTTATTATGGCTTTTCATACTAACCATACATACTTTCAAAATACTTTTCAGACCTAGCTTTTCTATCATGCTATCCGTGGGTACCAGTGTGTAGTAGATGCCAAATTCTCTGCCCCACCACATGTTTTACATTGATACAAAGGTTTGTTGAAAACAAGAGAAATTGGGTCAAATAAGCTGTTGTAGACAGCTGATAACTGTCATAGAAAATAAAAATGGCTAAATGTAGTAGTGTTTTATGTGCTTCACATATAACCAATAAACGGTGTGTTGAGGAAGCTTTGATAAGAGCAGAAGGGCTCGTGTAGGTACTAAGTACTGTTTTCTAGTAAACTATAGTTCCTGTGGCAGCCTTTCAACCAGTTTTTTATAAAAGTGCCTGAAACTGAAAAATAGAGTTGGCAATCTCCATTGACTAGATTTAACCAAAGAGGATTCCATCACTTGATTAAATTTCATCATATATTTCAAAAATGAATTAGCTAACCTTTTAAATCTATTATTTCAAAGATAATCCATAGAATCCATTTATTATATCTGTCCTGTGCTATGAAGGACAACTTAAGTTTATGAGTTTATGAGATTTAATGGATTTGATGGACCTGTTAGGAAACTTCTGACATTTTTGGGAATATGTCAATAATCATTGTAAACTGATTGTTTGAGTAATTGAACTATGTAATAATTCTGAAAGTGCCTCACTCAATCATTTCAGTGAGCTGCCTAAACTGTGCTATATTATAATCTTCTTTTTCCTTTGTTTAGGAATTAATATATTCTCACATTAGTTGTACTGAAAAGCTAAAAATAATAAATAAATATTTTGCATATTTGTATTAAATGGATGAAAATGGAGGCTTTGGTTGTATTAAAACATCCATTTAATATAAATGTACATATCTCTCTGAGTCCAGAAATCTCATTTCTGTGTTATTGACAATTTCAATAGAAGATCACAGGAGTAAAACCTTTTTCTCTAGAAGGATCAGTCTTTCTCCAAGCTTCCATTAGCCTTAGCCTTACAGTCAATGGCTACATGTGATGCTTCTCCATCTTTGACTTGAAGGTTGGTCCAAAGCAATGTTGAACAATGTATTTAGCTATTATTTCAGGTCTACAATTCACTTATTTTTTCCTGCTCTAAATTTAGCTAAACCTTTTCAAAGCTGAGGACATTAAACCTACTGATACTTTTATCTTCTACATTAATAGTTATATTTTGTTTAAAAGGATCCATAGTTGGATAACAAATTGGAGATTTCATGGTATCATCAGGATGAGTTGACCTACTGAACAACTGTCATGGGTCGCATCTTGAAATTTCCTTGTGCATTTTCTAGGCTTTGGTTTCTAGCACTGTTAAGAAACAGGTGGATGGATTACTTACATCAGTGTGTCTCCAATTTAGCAACTTGAAGAGTGGGTTTCAATTCCCAAAATTCTCCAGCCAATTTATAGCACATGTTCTAAGCCTAGTATTGATTGGAGAGTACTAGGATGGAAACAGAATAAAATTGGAACAAATGTACATAAACAGATATGTTAAGAAAGGGTAAAGAATAAATACAAAAATAAAGGGAACATAGAAAGAATATTTTCAAATCTCCAAATTCTTGTTGTACCTACATATTGCATACTACAGAAAGCCCTATTTCCTACTAATGTCACGAAACAACCATTATTCCCTGAAATGTTCTGGGTTCTGCCTAATAATACTACCATGTAACATCCTCTCACCCCACCCTACCCACATTTAGAAATAGGAAGCCACTGCTCATGTACACCTCATTTATTATTAGATTGCTCAAGAAACAAATCTTGAATGGGTGGCAAGTTGCTACCTTCTTTAATATTGCTCACTCAAGGAAATAACATAAAAAACATCAGCTCTACATTCCTCTCTTGTGACGATAAGGTGTTGACTAATACTCTCATTATAAAATATGAATACCTTAACATGAAGTGTAATGAGTTTCATGAATCTGCACAAGCAGACTTTTGAAATGTGTATGCATACATATGATTGGTGAAAAAGTTGTGTGTTTTGAATCCACAACCCTCCATCATCCCAAATGAACACTTTGTATTCAACTACTGACTTATTAGAAGCCAATCATCTAGCTATGCCAAAATTAAGTTAATAAAACCAATAAGTCATACTCATAATGATAAAATGAATACCTTTTCGCTTCTGTAATTAAATCTGTGTTATGACATTCAAAGCTTTCCGTCCTCTTAACTAGCTGAATAATTTCTTTTATATATAAATAAAAGTACAAGTACAGCCCAAAAGGTTTTGAAATCAAAAGTATTCTACTTTTTTCTTTGAGATACATATCATTTTTTAAAGCATGGCACAAAGATTTTTATGTCATTGATATCATTCATGTAACACTATTTAGAGTATTTCAGGTTTTCTTACTATTTCTCTAAAGTTCTCTGGTAGCATATTTTCTGATAGATAAGAAATATTTTTGAAAATTGGTTTCTGCCAGTATCTGTCCTAACTTTAATTTTAGTTTGAAACCATTAATTTTGATGCAAAACAAGAAATCAGGTGTAACATGCAGAATATACTGTATATATACATATACATATATAAAGGAAATTTGGACAAAAAAGTACTGCAACATCCATTTTATATTAGCTGGAAAATTAGCAGTGAAATTCATGTTCCTTGGGAAAGATATAGGTAGTCACTCTGTCATAATCCTGATATGTTCTGTCAACCTCATTAAACCAGAGATTGTGAATGACAAAAATTCAATTTATAAGAATATATGCAACATAAATCTAAATGGTGAGCTATAGTATTTTTCATTACCATCACCAGATCTTTCGAAGCCTTTGGATGTTACTGTTCCTTATTTCTAGGTTGAAGCTCTCCTTTATCAGTTTCCATCCATTATTCCTTATCTGGCTTTCAGGATCTGTGGAAAACAGGTTGACCCCCTCCACTCTGTAACAGCCCCTCAAATATTGAAATACTGTTGTCACCTCTGGTCCTTCTCTTCACTAGACTAGCCACGCCCAGTTCCTGTAACCATTCTTATGTTTTAGCCCTCATTAGTCCCCTAATGAGCTTTGTTCCTCTTCTATTAGACACCTCCCCCAAAATAATTATATTGATTTGCTGTAGTTACACCGTTGCTAAAATGTAATAATTTTGATTTATAATTAGAAGACAATAGGACATAAAAGTTGGAATATATAATCAAAAGCATTTTATAGCTGTTAAGAATATCAGAAATATACAGTAACTTCCTTTCCAACTACTTCCCTCCAAACTAGTTGGAAAGGAAGCTACATTTCTGAAATTTTGGGATGCAAATATAGCATTTCTGTCATCTTCCATCAATTGCGTCCTGCATATCTATCCTCTCTCAAGGCTTGTTATTAGCTAAATAATCCATGATAATAAAGTTCATGCCATCTTTGCTTATTTTGAGGACAAGGGTGTTGTTCCTGCAAGAAGTTCCATCTTTTCTCCCCCAAATAAACTGATTATCTACCTTAAAGCTCCCATAGTATCTTCTGGTGTTTAATAAGTCATTCCATGATAGCTCAGCAAAACTGTCTTGATTAAAATGAAAACTTCATGTTAACATGAAATATGTCTACAATCTCCCTTCTTCTACCCTTGTATATTTCCTTCCTGAGCCGATATTCCTGTCCCACAGTAATAGTTTATGTTGTACTGAAAGCACTTCATCATTCTTCTGGATAACTTTAGCCTTCAATGGGAGTTAATGGTAGCACTGTAGCCATCCACTCATTCCAGGGCAATTCAGTGGATACATAGCTACTGCATTGTAATAGTCTTGGATCAGGGAGAACTGTGTACAAATGTCTATTTGACCACTTAGCACATTGAATGATTCTGGACCAGTCACTTTCAGCCCAATTTCAAAGAACTGCCACAGATGGAACAAAATCAGGAAGCATGTGTACACTGCTTTGACTAAAAGCTGGATATAAATAATAAAGTCTGTAGGCATTGTGTTCTCATTGACTTCATGGTTATGTAGGATTGAGCCTAACATAGATTTCAATGACTTATTTCCAACTGGTATTCATGCTACAAAAGTATTTACTTATTGGCAATTTATATTGTATGTAAATTATATTTGTTTATAACAATGATGGAGAACCTTTTCGGCACCGAAAAGGGAGAGCACATGGCACCAAGTAATGAAAAGGGAGCACTTCAAGAACACTTCAAGAACACTCGTCAGGGCCGCGACCAAGAGGACCTCCCCAGGGGGCATGCGCATGCTGGATAAGGTACTTCTGGTTTTTGGCGCACATATGCACGCTGGCCAGCAAGTCTTCCGGTTACTGCCATGCATGCACATGTGCCAATCAGCTGGTCGGTGCAATCTCATGCTGGAAAACAGAAAACCAGCTCTTCTGGTTTACGGCACAAAGGCCAGCTGATCGTTGTCTGCGCATGCGCGCCAGAAACCTAGAAGAGGAACGGGCAATGCCACACGTGCCAGGCGATATGGCTCCACGTGCCACTTTGGGCACACATGCCATAGGTTCGCCATCACAGGTTTACAAGCTTCCTTGCCTCATAAAAGTGATCCAAAAATGAACAGTAAAATCCTTGATTTTGTAATAGTGGCATTAAGATTTCCCAACACGCAGGTGAGTAAATTTTATCTAAGTTTATTTATTTTATTAAATTTTGTGCCTATTTTGCCATGGGGCTACTATAGGCAGTTTACAACAATAAAAAGGAAGAAAATGAAAGGAGTGTATACAGAAGCAAAATAATAGAACCATAAAATAAACATTGAAAAAGGAACACAATTAGAATACATCAATATGATAACCAAAAAGATGGCTAGGTGGAGAGCAAAGAACAAGGACAGAAGGTGGAGTCTGCCATCTATCTTGCAGGTACCTCTGGTGTGGAATTCCATTTGGTTGTCAGGAAACTGGCAGAGCCAGGTCTTCAGGCTCTTGCAGAAGTATAGGAGGGTAGGGGCAGACCTTACTTTACAAGGTAAGGTGTTCCAAAGGACAGACACAGCAGCAGAGAAGGCTCTTCTTCTGGAATTTGATAGTTGGGAGTTCTTTGACTGATGGGACCAAAGTAGGCTCTTTCTGTTAGCATGAGTAGGATGGACTTGTCCTCGCAAGAGGAGTGGTTCATCAGGTAGCTTGGACCTATGCAATTAAGGGCTTTAAAGGTCACAACCAACACCTTGAACTACACTCAGAAGTAGACCCATAGCCAGTAAAGTTTGTGATATGGATCATCCTAGGGGTTCCAAAGACTGCTTTCACTGCTGCATTTTGCACATGCTGAAGCTTCTGAATGAACTTTAAGGGTAGCCCCATGTGGAGTGCATTGCAACAATCCAGGTGAGAAATAAGAAGGGCTTGAGTAACTGAGTGCAGGAAGTCATGATCCAGGAATGGTTGGGACTTGTGCACAAACCAGAGCTGTGTATAAACTCTCCTGGTCATGACTGCCATCTGCACTTTGAACAACATATGTGAGTCCAAGAGAACAACTAGGTTACGAACTGCATCTTCATGGGATAGTGCAACCCTGTCCAATTAGGGATGGCAAACACTCAAATCCTGAGGCTCGAATCCAGTCTTGCCAGGATTCAGTCTAAATCTGTGGTCCCTTGTTCAGATCCCTACAGCCTCCAGGCATACAAGGGCAGAGATGGCATCATTCAGATTGCCATGATTGCCATGTAGAGATGTAGAGCTGATAAGATCTCAACCCATGGTGACAAGTTACTTCAGTATTTCAGTTGTTAATCCCCAACTCTATCATGCATTATCAGGCTGCAGTTAATTAAATCTAGATGGAGGGGGTATTTTTGGTTTACATTTTTATATTATACAAGATGAAGGGGAAAAATATTTTTCCTAGTTCATATGTCATTTTTTTCTCCTGAAGTTTGCTATTTGAGCCCAGTATCTTTTTAACATAATATTTGTGCTTAGAAAGGTGTAATCTCTTGAACTGGAACTTCTATATATGTATTTGTTCTTCGTGCCCAGTGTGACTAACTTGCTTGCTATGCTATGCACAAGTTTCAGAAAAATCGCAAACCTGTTCTGCATAATATAACTTCAAAAACAGTATATCATTATCAGTCCAACCAGATGCATATTTACAATGAAGAAAGCCCCTTGCATTCAACGCAGGCACTGGTATGCAGCCTACAGTTATATTTCAACACAAGAGAAACTGAAGAAAAATACACCAGAAAGGATGCTATTTATAGTATCAATATACTAAAAATCAGTATGGAACAAATCGATGCAATCAAAATAAACAAACTTTAAAAAAACAATTAACTAAGAACAATATTAGCATACATTTCAAACACTGTATCTTTATTTAATAAGATATACTTTCAGAAAGGATTGTTCACTTTTCTTACACTTCAGTGCAATCTTCATCTCATTCAGAATTTGAAATATTATAGTTGGAATTCCTCATAGTAGCAATTAACACAATCATGTGCTGCTCATATTAGCAGTTGTAATACATTAACAAATGGAAGAATCTCTTTAATTAATCTAGATAAGTATAATGCTTTGGCTATTTATTTTCAATAATATTTCATCACCAAATTAGGTGTTTCTCAACAAGATCTTTAACCATCATCCAATTCTTTTATATAGAATATGTACACTATAGTGAAACTATTTGAAATATGTAAAATGCTAAGCAAATTATGATTGTCCCCCTTTGTACATATATTAACTTTACAATGAGTGTTACTGCTATTCTTTGTGCATGTATCAACATAACAATACCTAGTAATGCTTAAATTACCCATATGCTTGCACAACAAGATTAGAAATAATTCCATATTGCTTTAAGAATTTCAGCCTCTGACTTAAAAGTATGTTCTGTAAATATATTACAAAGTCATACAAATTAGTTTTCAAAAATCCAGAAATACAAAATAAGTTTCATTAAAAAAAAATCCATTTAGAATTGTAGCTTGATATTTCCAACAGATTCAAACCATGTTAAGTCTCAAAGTGCTTTGTTACTTGGGACTATAGTAAGCAATTATGTTTGGAAAACATGAAATGCAGATAGCAAGGAAAAAATCCTATTGTTCCATTTTATTCCACCATCTTTCAAATTTTCCCTTCTATTTTTCAATGATTGGATTCATACAACATTCTTACCTTAATTTCAAATCAATTCGTTTTCTGGATACTCATAATACACTGCATTTTTAAATAAACACCGAGTTTGTGCAATAAAAAAAATAACTAAAGTTAAAAACCAAAATAAGCAATGGTAAACCACTTCCAACATTTTGTCTAGAAAACTGTATGGACTGGTCCAAGGAATCGCTAGGAGTCAGCACTGACTTAAAGACTCTGGTGCTCTTAATGAGCTCTGGTGGCTCAGCAAACTAAAGCACTGTTATTAACATCCACTTACATTGCTGCCTGCAATTGCTGCAAGTTCAAATCTCACTAGGCTCAAGGTTGACTCAGCCTTTCATCCTTTCTAAGGTAGGTAAAATGAGGACCCAGGTTATGGGGGCAATAAGCTGACTTTGTATAAAATATACAAAAGTATGAAGGCTATTGCTTAACGCACTGTAAGCCGCCCTGAGTCTCCGGAGAAGGGCAGCATATAAATCAAATAATAAAAAAAAAAGGCACCAACTCACTCCCAAACTCTAACCAAGTTTAATTATGTAAATACAACAAAGAGATTTTTAACTTAACTATTATTAACTATGCTATGTCAACTGAATCAACAAAAAGATAAACACAGGGTTCAATCTTGGGCTGCTATAAACTAGCATATAGGTAGATACTGTAGCAGATAACAGAATCTGGTTGACCTTATCAAGTTAAGAAACTAAATAGGGTCAAGCCCTATTTAGTAAGAAATGTAGTAGAAAATCATTTCCAGTGTTGAATCCATTCATGGATACGTACAATAATTCACCAAGCTGAATTCAAGCCCCCCTTTTTGTAATATTAAAAATGACTAGAAGTACTACAGCATAATTAGCACATTAATGGCAGTATTCTTTTTAATAAAATGTTAAGTGAGGTAAAATTGTCATTTATACATTGAAATTTCAGATTAGTTTTCCATTTATTTTAGAATAGTTCCCATAAAAAAAAAAAGCTAAGAGGCAAATAATGAAGAGCCCTATGAATTCCAAAAGAAACCTTTTTCTTAAAAAGCATTTGGTCTTAACATTGTCAATAGTAGCCACAGTTTGACAAACATAACAGTATTAGTTGAAATGGCAGGCAAATTCAGTCTCTAACTACTATGTAATTTTTAAACATGAAAGAAAAAATAGTAACTAATGTAACAACCGTTGATAAATTAATGGGCATCCATCTTTTTTATTTCACTTGAATTTAAGATTCAAGCATAAATAAAAAATACTGAACACAAGAGTAAATCGTAGCATATTAAAAGCCTTTATGAAACAATAGTTAGTTTGAAAACATAGGAATTAATTTAAACTTTTTTGTCACAATATATTTTCATTAATTAATGAGAACTATGAAAAAATAGTATATAATATGAATTTTGGAATTCCCAGGTTTCAAATTTAAAAAGCAAGCATTTATGTCATGATTCCTCTGAGAATAAGCAGCTTTCATTAGAAGAATCATCCTACCCACGAACAAGAAAAAGAAAACTACTTGTTACACAATACTGATAATGTTGTAGAGCTAAAAAGCAGATAGGACAACCACACAGATATGATGATACGTTTCCAATTTGCTAGGAATAAACTGCCACTCCCAAAAAAGCCCACATGCAGGTTGAAAGGAAAGACAAGTATTATTAAATGCTCTAAATCAAGACAAACCTGTACACGATTACAGAAGGAGTTCCCTGTTCTCCAGTCAGATAGCAAGTAATTGAATTAGCAAAGGCTTCCTTGAATTTATATAGTCTTTAGAGTATCTCATGCTTAGCTCCCATTAAGAAAATCATGTGTCAGTTTATAGAGATACATGGCTCAGTGCCTAATTTCTATTGGAAATCAATAGCCAAGTTCATACTATGTCCAAGGGAATATATTCAATGAAGTAGTGTGATTTGTATAGATACAATGAAGTAGTGTGATTATCATAAAGCAGCCTTCCCAAATTTGTGTCCAAGCTCACTGATTCTATATCCGAGTTTCTTAAACTTGACAACTTTTAAGATGTGTAGACTTGAACTCTCAGAATTCCCCAGCTAGCATGGCTGAAAGTTCAAATCCACACAACTTAAATTTGCCAAGGCTGAGAAACACTTTTCTATGCAATTGATTATGGGGACTGGGAATCCTGGGAACTGCAGTCTTAACTATATTTATATAGAACTATAACCATATCTGGAAAGTCTATCATAGAGCAACATATCTACACAAATATATGCATTATTGATAGAATTGGCAATAGAGCTCTATGATTCAATTTCTAGGAAAAAATATTTTTTCTCTAGCAACGTAACTTGCTTCTTAACATCAGTATTGCATTTCCTCCCCTAAATACAGTATTCTGCACTCTTTCAGAATTCTGTTCAAATCATGCAGCAATCGTGTTCTTTTGATAAACGTTTACTAACTAAATAGTTTTAAATAAAAATGAGGTAAAATTGGTGGTGCTTGAAAATCAATGACTCAATTTTTTTCACGCTAAAGGAATACATTATAGGAATTAATTTTCACAAAGATTCCAAATGTTCCTTGGTGAAAATGTTTCTGTTTAATATTCCTGTTTGATATTCCAAGAAGACTGGTTATAGAATATCTTTCTAAATTTGAAAATTAATTTTATTCTTGATCCAACATGGAGAAAGCACTGGCCCGAAGAACCTCCATGCAATTGACTAGGATTAGAGCTCCAGTTATTTCTCGCCATTGTTTGGTCACAGGGTTTTTCATTTTGTCCAAAGCTAAATGCAGATCTTGCAACATATCTCTGTAACTGTCTCCATGGTGAGCACTCCAGGTATAGAGAAAATCATAAGCTGGTTTCCACATCATCTGAAATTTAACAAAATCATGTTTAGATGCAAAACAGTTCAGTAATAAGTGGACAAAACTGTATACAAACACTTGCAGTTAGATACTGAATTGTGTCTGCCCTCTGACTTTCATAAATACATGTGGACTTCTGTGCAGAATATCATAAAACACAATCAACTACCTTACTTTTACGCTAAATTCCAGTTAGTTATATAACCAAGCTTTTTACAACTATACGGATCATGGATATTAAAGCATCTTAGTTCCAAATATGGTCACCGATCAATGTATGTTAAAATTTTCCTACACAATTCAATTAGAGAAGTTTTCCAAAATGAGTTGTACTGTTCAGGATATGTCTTCAGCTCCCCAGAGAGGGATACATAGCAACAATTTCATCTTGATACCTAATTTTTTATCTCCTGAGCCATTTAATGTGCTATTCACTTGGTCATACTTGAAGAGCGCTTTTAAATTAACAGTATATCTCAAATTTTGTCATTTCTCAGAAATAATTATTTTATTTTGTTTAAAACTTATATGAGTCTTTAAAATTATTTGAAAATTACCCTGAGAAAACAGTTCTTTGTAGTATATAGATTTTTTTATATACCTGTTACCTGTAATTAAAATCTCTTCCTTAAAAAAGTGTGAATATCATCTGCTAGACTAGTATCAATATAACATTAAATAGGATATTATTCTTGTTTATGCAAACTTACATATTATGAGAAGCAAAAAAGAACCACCAAAGAAAACTGTGACTATTTTTTTGAACAAGAGTAACCCAAAATCCATGAGTGAATGGAACAAAAGATACTAGATTTTTATCTGTCATCCACTCATCTGGCTTTCAGAAATCTTTAGTTTAGCCACCTATTTTCTTCCCATCTATTAACATATAGTAAAGTGGGCCCCAACCTTTTGGGCACCAGTGACCAGTAAGGTGGAGAGATTTTTCCACAGATGGGAGGGCCTGTTTTTGTATGCTGCCTGCATTCCACAGATGGGGCTTCACTTGTTTGCATGGCATGATTTCTGGCATGTCATGGACAGGTCCATGAATCAGGGGTGGGGGAACCCCTGATCCAGTTTCAGGAGTACAAAACGTATAAGGAAAGACAAATGTGGAAAAGGGGAGAAACAGGCAATGCAAAACTGTATTTTCTTTATTCCCAAACACATGAACCCATTCCCAACTGAGGATACATAGTTATAGGAGTATTTCAACATCTATAAGCATTTGAGAAAGGAAACTAACTATGGATTTTTGTTTTTACAAAAATAGCACAGCAAATAGAAAATGCAGTCCAATTGTAGTGGTTTAATTAGTTTAATAATCCTACTGGAAAATTCTAAAATATAGGCAAGAACATACTTAAATATATACACACAATAAGCTAAATACTATGTGAGAGAATATCCTTAGACATAGCCAGGCCTTCAAATACCATGGCCCCACCCTAAAAAGGGCTTTGAGCATCAAAGTGGTATTTTAATTTGGACCTAGAAATATAGGGATAACCAGTACAAATAATACAACAAACCCAAAGTGGGAGCTAGAAGAGACAGCACATTACATAGAGAATCCCATCAGCATCCCTAATTCTACTGACTAAAGCCAGCAAATGTATTCTGAATTCATTGCAATTTCAAAACAAAAAAGCCAAATCAAAACACAACGTGGTGGGATGCAATGTGTGCACCCTATTGTACATTATGCATCATGCACAATTCCTGCCACTTGTTACAGCACAGGTAACCTATAGTATCTTGTATTTTTGCTGATCCTTTATATTTTTATGATTTCATGGTCTTTCAATGCATTTCGCTTTATACTGCCTTTTAAAATTGTTATTACTTTAGATAAACTTCATTAAAAATATAACAGATACAAAATAAAAATTCTTCATACATAATATTATACTAAGGACAGCTCTAGCTTTAGACAGAATAATGGTTTATTGGTAGCTACAATGACCAATGGTATGAAATGATTATCAGTGGAAAGTGGGTAGAATGTACACATAACAACTTCATGCATTCTTAAAATTAAACCATAATGCTTTTTACATATTGATTCAAATAACAGAATTATGCAGATATTATACCTGCAGAAACTGACAGTTTAAGATTCAGTTCAGTATAAATACATATTTAATATGAAAGTCCAGCTTTAATCTGGATCCAAGCAAACCAGGAACTGAATTTTTTATTTATTTATGCATTATTACAATTTAAAGTGTATCTGTCACTGATGCTTTAATTTCCATCACAGAGCAAAAGATTGGATTCAATATTTACATGCCACCTCAACTCTATGATTTAAACAAAAAGATTTACCATAGTAAAAGTTTGAATGCTAAGAATTATCTTAAATTTATACTAAAGCTGAAGAATTTCAAGAGTTTCTACAGATATAGAAAACTGTAAAGAGAAGAAATAATACACTATATTCTAAGAATTAAATGAGGAGAGAGATTTTCCCCGGAGGAAAAAGAAGAAAAATAACTGGGTTCTCAAAATTAAAAATAGTTCTATTGTTGAAATTTAACCAATGTTACTTAAATCATCCATTTTGTCAGCCACCTAGAACTTGTATAGGTTAGGTCAATCCCTTCAATCAGGGTAATGAACAACAGCATTCTAAATCATGTTATCTAAAAAGCATTAAAACTCTTTTGTCTGTTTGTAACCTTCAATTAGGCCAGGCAGTACATCATAGTGCAACATTTCTTGAATCAAGGTACCTCAAATTCATTAAGTTAAAGAATGTGTACAAAAGCCAGGACATATTAGTCCTGTGTAACTGAAATTTCAAGGATCTTCCTCAACACTTTTAATCATAAAATTGTGGCCAGTGCAGTTTCACCACAATTAACTACAGTCACATGGTCATGATTTCTGGTACTCCATGCCAGCTTCCCACAAATAGGGTCAATGGAGAAGCCAGCAGGAAATCTGAAGTCACTCTGGTTCCCACTACTTTTTTGCCCACTTATAGTCTTTGTATTTCTTTGTTTTTCTTTGTTTGATATTTCCCTTTAGAAAGGGAAATATCTTTGAAAGGATGACCAAACAGGTCATGGATTGCCTAGTAATTTCTGAAGTAATAATTCAGGAGTATTCAATAGCTGTTTAAGATTAAAGAAAAGCAGTCTGAGAGAAAGGTTATGCTCACTGTATACACAATGTACTCTCTTACCTCTATCAAAAGTGCTGGACAGTTTTTATCTCTTTTCAACTCTTGTTTTTATTTAAACACAGATACTATTAATAATGAGACTAAAAATTTACTGTATTGTAGATACTGTAATAAAGGGATCAAAGAAACCTGTGAATTTACCATGGAATGTTGACTCCTTCTCTCAAGTTTCTCTTACAGCAGTGTTTCCCAAACTTGACCCTTTGAAGATGTATGGACTTCAACTCCCAGAATTCCTCAACCAGGCATACTGGCTGGGGAATTCTGGGAGTTGAAGTCCATGCATCTTAAAATAGCCAAGTTTGGGAAACACTGTCTTACAGTGACAATGTTCAGTTTAAACATGGATTGTACCTTTTGTAGCAAATGAATACAAGAGAAATATTGTGAGACTTACCTCTGGAGCAACTTCTCCATTTTTGCCATGATGGGGAGTTTCATAAGCATCAATTTGTTGTTTTGTAAGTCGTGCTAATTTTTCTGCCAACTCTCTCCAGTTCTTCCCAAGTTTTACTGCCGCAGTAAAAATAACTGTATCCTGGGTAATACGGGCTACTAATCCTTGACAGTCTAGCTTTAAAAGTGCCTGGAAGCACAAATGTGATGGTTATGTTTTAAACAATTTTTAATAACAAATAATTATAGTACAATTATAATGTAACTGCTTGGAAGCATAACTTCCAAGTTATGTGGAACTGCAGTGAGAGGGCGGTGAGGATTAACATCTATCGTTCCCAAGTGTCATGGGAGGACGCCTGGGAATGGAGGTTCCTGTCTCCAGGGATGGACCATCTTGATATATCCCATTCACCATGGACGATCCCATGCCTCTATGTTTAAGGATGGTTTTACGAGCATATGCAAGAATGGATTTGGTTGTTCTGAGGGATGCCCCCCCGTCCTGGAAGTGGCCTGTTGGCCTGGCGAAGATCTACCTTAATGACGGGTCCTGGGATCCCAAGAGGTGGCATGAGGATTTTAAGGGTTTTAATAAGGGGGTGTTACATTGTTTTCTAGCTAGATTTTTAAGGGGACTAGGGAGGGGGGTGGGTTCTGATATCCAGCGGGTGGCTGGGGGGGCCCTGCCGGGCCGATGGCAATCCAGGTTATGTGGGGGCGGTGGTCTTGGTGAGGTGTGGGGACGTCCGGGTGCCCCAGAGGTGAGGGTGGGATCTTTGATTCCAGTTGCGATTGGGAATGGTTGCAGGTGGATGAATGGAGGGCCATATCGGATTTCGGGAGCCCGCCCCCACTATCTTCGAGCGGTGGCATGTTCCGACCCTCCTGGTTCTATCCGACCCCCTGGGGGTTTGAGAGATAGGATTACTGGGCTCAGGCTGTTTTACTTTAATGCCAGGTCTGTGGTCAACAAAGCTCCTCTCATTCGTGATTTGATTGAGGAGAAAAACGCAGACCTGGCTTGCATTACGGAAACCTGGTTGGGGTCAGAGGGAGTGTCCCTCTGACTGAACTTTGCCCACCAGGCTTCCGGGTGCTGCACCAGCCAAGGGCCCAGGGTAGGGGAGGGGGTGGCGGTTGTTATTAGGGAGACTCTTAGTCCGTGGGAGGTCACTGCTCCTAAGATAGACGGGTATGAGACCCTCCTCATGAAGTGGGGCCCGCATGGACAGTTGGGCTTGTTGACTGCGTACCTGTCTCCCAGCTGCGTATCAACAGCCCTGCCTGGGCTATTCAACATCCTATCGGGGCTGGTGGTAGAGTTTCCCGACTCATTGTTCTGGGGGACTTCAATCTGCCATCCCTGGGCGGGGCGTCTGGGATGGCTCAGGAGTTCATGGCCTTCATGGCAGCTATGGACCTGACTCAGATTATTCCGGGCCCGACACATGAGAGGAGCCACACGCCCAATCTTGTTTTTGTCTCGGAGTAGTGGTGGTGGAATTCGGTGAGGGATTGCCTTCCATTTATCCCGTCATGGACCGATCACTATCTCCTCCGGCTGGGTTTCCAGTATGCCACCCCTCCTCGCTGGGAGGTGGAGCTGACCATCTGGTTCCGCTCCAGGCACCTGATGGACTCGGAGAGGCCTAGAGAGCCATTGGAGAGCCAGTCATTCCGAATCTGACCGGTCCCAGCTAAGGTCAGCCACACGGGCCTACCTGGTGGAGTTGGTGACGGCAAAGTGTCGCTACTTAGCCGATGTCATTGCGTCCACAGAGAATCGCCCAGCTGCCCTGTTCATGGTGTTCCACTCTCTCTTGAATCAGAGGGTGAGGGAAGACCCTCTGCGAGGGCGAGCCGAGGAGTTTAGCCAGCACCTGTTGGACAAGATCGCTCAGATTCGGGATGGCTTGGACTCTGACTGGACAGAATCAGACGGTGAGGAGGCAGCGGGTCCTGTGCTTTGGGAAGAGTTAGATCCTGTTACCCCAGAGGAGGTGGACAGGATCTTGGGGAAGCCATTTTTGTGCTGGACCCATGCCCCTCCTGGCTGGTTTACTCAGCTCGGGAGGTGACACGCGGTTGGATCCAGGCAGTGATAACGGCTTCCTTGGGGGAGGGAAGCTTTCCGGCCGCCTTGACACACGGTGGTGAGGCCCCTCCTCAAGAAGCCGGCCTTGGATCCAGCTGTTTTGAGTCATTTTTGTCCTGTCTCCAACCTCCGCTTTCTAGCAAAGGTTGTCGAGAGTGTGGTGACACGTCAGCTCCCGCTGGCCCTGGATGAAGCGGATTATCTCGACCTGTACCAATTGGGTTTCAGCACGGAGACGGCATTTGTCATGCTGGTGGATGATCTCTGGAGGGCTCGGGACAGAGGTTATTCCTCTGTTCTGGTCCTATTAGATCTTTCGGCGGCCTTCGATACCATCAACCATGGTATCTTGCTGCGGTGCCTCGAGGGGCTGGGAGTGGGAGGCACCGTTTTATGGTGGTTCTCCTCCTACTCTCGGGTCGAACCCAAGCGGTGTTGGCAGGGGGCAGAGATCGACCTTGAGGCCCCTCAGTTGTGGGGTGCCCCAAGAGTCGGTTCTCTCGCCCCTTCTGTTTAACATCTATATGAAAATGCTGGGGGAGATCATCCGTGGTTTCGGGGTGAGGTACCACCAGTGCGCTGATGATACTCAACCCTTTATATCCACCCCAAACCAACCCAGTGATGCCCTCGACGTGATGGCCCGATGCCTGGAAGCGGTACGGGTCTGGATGGAAAGGAACAGGCTTCGGCTCAACCCTGCCAAGACCGAGTGGCTGTGGGTACCGGCATCTCGGTCCAAAGGAGAGGTTCCATCATTGGCTATAGTGGGTATAGTGTTTTACCCCCTGTAGACAGGGCACACAACTTGGGTGTCCTCCTGGACTCACGGTTCAGTTTAGAAGACCATATAATGACTGTGACCAAGGGGGCATACGCCCAGATCCGTCTGGTGCGCCAGTTGCGCCCCTACTTGGACCGAGATGCCCTACACACAGTTACTATGCGCTAGTCACCTCCCGTATTGACTACTGTAACGCTCTCTACATGGGGCTGCCCTTGAGGAGGCTTCAGCTGGTACAAAATGCAGCCGCGCGGGTTGTGATGGGAGAATCCCGATACTCCATGTAACACATCTCCTGCGTGACTTGCATTGGTTGCCAGTTGCCCTCTGGGTAAGATTCAAGGTGCTGGTGATGACCTATAAAGCCCTACATGGCTTAGGCCCAGGATATTTGGTGGACCACCTGCAGCCAGCAACAACTTCCCATCGCCCAGTTCGCGCCAATAGCGAGGGCCTGCTCAGGGTACCGTCGGCTAGACAATGTCAGCTGGCGGCCCCCAGGGGTAGAGACTTCTCTGTGGGCGCGCCCACTCTCTGGAATCACCTCCCCTTGGGGCTCTGGCTGGCCCCTGACCTTCGCACTTTCCGCCGCAAATTAAAAACTTGATTATTCAAGTCTCCCAGCCTGGACTGATGGGGTTTTATATGGGTTTTTAACTTTTATCTGGTTTAATTAGGTATTTTAACTTTGTACTGTGGTTATTGTGGATTTTATTGTTGTGAGCCGCCCTGAGTCCATTGGAGATAGGGCGGCATATAAGTTAAATAAAATAAAATAAATAAATAAACAACTGAGGAAGAATTGTATCTTTTTACTGTATAAAATAGTCATTTCCCCCATATTATTTATTAATTTTGGGTTTGTTTCTCTCTCTCTCCACTTTCTGGACATATTGGAAAGACCCAACCAAGTGATTTCCAACATTACTTACTCCATTAACACAGAAAATAGCAGTTAGTTACATAGATTTAACTCATGCCTTATGATTCATTAAAATACATTTTTGTGTTAGATTTATATTATCCACACATGTGCAGAGAGAACTGTGTACTCTATGTACCGTTTCCCCCAAAGAAGTTCTAAGTAATAAAGTGAGGTTATGTGGCTTGAGGCTGACTTCAATCTGAATCTTCCCTCTCCCAGTCCAACACCTTGACCAAATTGACTTTGCTACTTTGCTTGGTTCCTATTGACCTCAGGATTGGGTAAACAGATTGGGAAGGTATTTTCGTAGTTTACTGTACTGTTTGCATCTAAATTCCCAGGTCTGTCCTCCAAACAGAGTTGGATATCATGGTTTATACTCCATGTCACATTTTGTTTGGCAGACGCCATGGATCATGGCTTGTATGCCATGACTGTGTTCTATTTATCCATTCCTATGGGTTAAGAGAAAAAGTAGGAGCAATTGAACCTTGCCAACTATGATATGAAAACATCCCCCGTGATGTTTATTACAAATGTACTCATATTTTAAAATACTGCCATTTTTAAAACAAATATGATTTGGCTTTATTGTTCATCTATCTAATTTAAAAGGATGACATATTCTTAAAGAAAGTTATGAAAGAAGAGATAGAATGTTTTTTCTGTAAGCGATTGCTTATAACTCTAGAGAATTAATGAGAATTCCTTAGGTATCCCTTGACAATGAGAAAAGCCATGCTTGTTACTTTTAAGCTATATGGCTTTTGTAACTTTGCTAACAAGCACTGTGACACAGAAACAAGAAAAAGGTTTTTTTTTATCTCTATTGTAAAACTTGGCATTCTTCATTTCTTCTTCCTGCCTTCCTGATTTTTTCCTTCTGTCTCTCTTATAGTTATAAAATATTTATTAGGGATATTACAAAACCCCAATTTTTCTAAAGATACATATAATTCTAATATCTGTATTAATGATATTAAAATCTGACAATGGCACAAGACATGCAGAGATTTTTCCTGATTATAATTAAAATGGATTTAAATAAAGGAGAAAACAGAAAAGTACACAACCTTTTTGAAAGAAAATATCCGGTGAGTCTTTGTTATTATGATGGTGAGGATGAAGATGATTATAGTATTGGAAAATACTTTAATCCATATTTTTTTTCCACAGAATTCAAAGCAAAACTATTCTATAACATGTGTTACATTCAGATGAGACATTAGAAATAGACAAAATCCTCCATTTATGTTCCAAGGCTTTTTAAACTATCAGGTTCCATAAAATTCAACAAACGCGGAAAATCTATGGGGCAAAACGAAGTTGTAGTTCAAAACATCTGTGCAACTCCAGATTGCAGATGTTCCAACTACTTCTGCACGTCATCTTAATTTTGTGATTAAAGGTGCAAAATCAAATCATATTTGACTTTAGGTCAGTTCTCAAAATATGTTCCAGGAAGATTTTTTTATACAACTGATACTTTTTATTCATCTAACTTGAAAGCCAGTTTGGTGTGGTGGTTTAAGGCACCAGCCTAGAAACTAGGAGACCACGAATCCTAGTCCTGGCACTTCACACATGAAGCCAGTTGGTACCTCTGGGCCAGTCACTTACTCTCAGCCCTAGGAAGTAGGTAGCAATGGCAACCACTTCTGAAAATGTTGCCAAGAAATCTGCCAGGAGTAAGGATTCCTGAATTCAAAGGATGTAAAGGTAGTCCACAACTTACAAGAGTTTGTTTAGTGACTGTTCAAAGTTACAACGGCACTGAAAAAAGTGATTTATGACCACTTTTTACAGTTGCAATCATTCCAGCAACCCCCATGGTCACGTGATCAAATTTCAGATGGTTGTCATATTGTTCATTATTTATGACCGTTGCTATGTGCCAAGATCATGTGATCATCTTTTGCGACCGACCTTCTGACAAGCAAAGTCAATGGGGAAGCCAGATTCACTTAACAATCAGGTTACTAACTTATGAACTGCAGTGATTCACTTAACAACTGAGGCAAGAAATGCTGTCAAATGAGGCAAGATTCTCTTAACGTCTCACTTAACAGTGCAAATTGGGCTCAACTGCAATCATTAAGTCAAGGACTACCTGTATATAAATTAAAGATATTTCAGAAGAAAAATCTAGAAGAATTATTTTTACTGCTTTCTTTTACAGAGCAATCAAGGTATTAGGATTATATGAACAACCTTGATTAGATTCAAATTTGTAATTTCGAAAGTCATTTTTTGCTTTGACTGGACTGTCTACGTTGTGCTCTATCGGGATGGGGAGGTGGGGGAAAAAACCCACTCGGTCCATACCTACTAACTGCACGAGATGGAGAATCTCTCTTCCAGCTCGCCGGTTTGGGCACTGGGAGCTTGAGAAGTAAATTGTGCACCCTGAATTCTGTCTGCTGCTGCTTCAAGCCTGGAGCCTGGCTGCAGCCGACCATCAGCCAATTTTCTTCCAGTGCTCGTGCAAGGAACCCTGGAAGAGCTTAGCGGCAATATATTGCATGCTTTTCACTCCAAGCAGCCCTGGAAAATGCATGGCTGGGGCAGAGCAGTTCTCTTTAACAAGCTCCAAACCATTGCTGCTGCTCCAACCCTGGGTTCCCCGCACGAGTATTGAAAGAAAGAGAGTCCAATTGTGAGGGTGGGCTCTTCCAAGGCCGGTTGTAGAGGGAAACAGTGAGTGGTCTTTCCTTCCTGAGGAAAAAGCCTGAGCCCACCAGGCGCTCCTCGCCAGTCTCCCAGAGACCAGGCATGAAGGGACGATCATAGCATTGTACCCAGCTCCACGTTGCCCGGAAAGTCCAGCAGACAAGGCTTCTGGGCAACGTGGGGCCGGGGGCGGGACTTCCTTCCTTCTCTGTTTTGGGGAGATTTTCAAACAAAGGGTTGGGAACTTCAAGCGAGGCGTGTGCTGCAGCCTTGCCACACCAGTCAGCAACTTTGGGCTGGGCAGCAGTGGTTTTCCCGGCTGGCTGCAACTGTGACCGCTCAGCTTTCCCCCAACCCACATCGTCCAAAGTGTGCAGGCCGGCAAGGGAAGGCCAGGAACAGCTGGCAGAGGGGTGATGCGGGCCACATAGCCTCATGCTTCCTGATCAGCCCCCGCAGGCGAGCCCCAGAAGCTGGAGGCAGGCGAGGCCCAGCAGCTGCAGAGAATCCGGGCAGAGGGCGAGTTGTGGGATGGGGGGGAGCCGAGTGACGACGGCTCAGCATTGGCTCAGCTTCCCCTCTGCCACCAGCCATGGGAGGAAGGTAAGATTGCTGGACAAAGAAAGAAGTGCTCATGGGGGAAGAAGCCAGTGACGGGAACTGGCACCTTACCTTCATGGGCAGCCGCGATGAGCAAAGTGGGCAAGGTGCAGAGATAAGCTGGGCCACGTAGCCATTATGTTAGCCGTGGCGAAGGTAGGGAAGCAGCCAAGGCGCAGAGATCAGCTGGGCAGCGTGGTCTGGGCAAGAGAGCGCGCGAAGGAGGCAGAGTGTAGCTGGGTGTGACTCTAGCCATCAGCCAAGGTGGGCAAGACGAGATAGGGCGGGGCAGGCACGGCCAGCCAGTGGTGGAATTTGCTGGTTCGCCGAACTACTCAGAATCATAACCAGTTTCCCTGAACCAATCCAAATCGGCAGCAGCCCACCTGATACTAGTATAGGGGTGTCAAACTCAAGGCCTGCGGGCCAGATTCAGCTTGCATGGTGCTTAGATGTGGCCCATGGGGCTGCCCTGGAAACAGCGAAGGACTGGCCCACGGTGTCTCTGCCAGCGAAAAAGGAGGTGGAGAGAGCTGAGCATGGCCCTCCCAGGTTCTGTTTTCAGCTGCCAGTGAAAATGAAGATCAGGGGGGGAACATGTGGCCCACACGGGCTCCATATTTGGCCACGATGACCTCCTTCGGCCTTTGCCAGCGAAAAGGGAGCCTCTATGGCTCTGATTTCACTGGCAGAAGGCTGCAGGAGGCTGTCGCAGCCAAAAACGAAACCTTGATGAGTGACATTGAGCTGGCCATGCTCCCCCAGCCATACTCCCTACCCCCCGAGGTCCAACACAACTCTAATGCGGCCCTCAATTAAATAGAGTTTGACACCCTGGGACTAGTAGGTTAAGAATTTCAAAAAAATGTCTTACACTGCAAAGGTAAATTCAATGGTTGTATATGTAAACCATTTTGTAAACCAGTTGATAGGAGCAGAACAAAAGAACTGATTATGAACTAAAGGAATAGAGAAAAGGATAACAAGAAGTTTCTTTCATTTTCTGGCTCTATCCTATAAGTGATGGAAGAGAATCCTTAGTTAGCTCATTCATAGCTCCAAAGATGTACGAAATAGGAAATAACTGTGCTTGAATATAGATAACAATTCTATTCACCCACTCAAAAAGAAAAGTGTTAAATTTGCTCTGGCACCCCTACTCTTCAAGCAAATGCAAAAATAGAAAAAAGAAGACATGGTCCAACACATTAGGTTAAGGAGATGCCTTATGTACTGAAATGTAACGGAATAGTTAATATTGGAATTTGACAGGTGAAATCCCCATCCAGTATCAAAAAGAAAAGAGAGAAAAGTTCAAAGAAAGAAGAAACCAAAACTAAACTACAGTGTAAAAAAGGGGGGAATTTTAGTGAATATACTTTTGATAGCCATTTGATACATTTAATGTTCTGGTGGGGTAACAGGTGCAATGAGATGGGTAATTGATATAAGATTTGTGTGGCCATCACCTTAAGAAACGCAACTCTGGATAGTTGATAACAGATACCTAAAACCAAACATTATGGACACTATAAAAGCAAAAAATAAAGGCAAAAAGCAAATTTCCTTGAACTTGCCAACACTACCATCTTTCAGTTCAAACTTCACCCTACTTCACTGTTTGGGAAAACAAACAGCTCTTTACAGCCTGCTAAAAAGGACTACTGTATTACAGAAAAAGCACAGTAGATGGGAACAGTTCAGTGAGGGGACCTTAAATATGCCTACCCTAACTGATCTTGGTAATGAGCAAATAGCCTGAGGTAATGGAACCTACAGATAACCTGGTCCCATGCCCTGCAGGGTTTTCGCCAGCTGCTTAAATTGCACCAGGAAAAAAACTGGGAGTCAGTGCAGCTCACGACATAGAGCTGGGCAGATCTATGGAAACATGCCACCTCATTCTGGACCACCTGTAACTTCTGGGTGATCTTTAAGGCTGTTGCAGAGTGTTTTGTAATAGTCCAACTAGGCAGTGACCATGAGTCCAAAATATATTGAAGTGCGAACTCAGTACCTGCCTATAGCTATTTATAGTACCTATTTCTTTTCCTGGGATTGTACAACACAGCTGTTTTAAGCCACTGCAAGAAGGTGCTACATTCACCATATGATGAATGGTGATAATGGGCAACAAACCATTATCATCACCTGTTTAGCAGTAAGTCCAATTTGATTTAATGCTGGATGTGAATGTGTGCATTGGAGGAAAGAGGAAAGGGGGGTTAAAAAGACAAGAGTTTCAAAATACTAGTATGTTCACATTCAGCTTTGTTTAAACTACTTCATTATAATCCAAACAAACCTATAAACCTAGATGGTAAAAATGAAGTACCAAGCCAGAAGACTCTTTTATGTTGCATCCAAGACAATCTTTCAATTTTAAAACCATCATTACTATCAACTTACAGGCTCTGAGGTACAATAGGAAGGCCAATATCATAAGAAGTCTCGTTAAAGACTTACATCTTATTTGCTTCTTCTCATCTGACAGCCCATCCCAGTAGTACTTACCACAGAGAGTTCATATAGGAATCGTCTTGTGCTTTTCTGAGTATGGCAAATTTCTTTCAGTTTCTTCATAATATACGCTACTTTTTCAGACTCTTTTTCAACTTGTAATGCAGTTAAATCATACCGGGACAAATCTGAAAATTGAAGAGCATCAGCCAAAGCTTTCCAATCATTTAGGTTCTCTGATACTGTGGATAAGATTGTTGAATAGATGTAAGTCAATTTTTTAAAAGGCAATGCAATCTGTTCAAGGAGGCTACTGGTCATGATTTCACTATCCTCAACATCAATAGTTTGGTTTTCAGTTATCACTTTGATATTTTTGCAGTGTACAAGGCCAATTTTTCTTCTGAGAACTCCTACATACCATTCTTTAATTTTTGTTTGTCCAATGGCTTTGACCTTATCTTCTCCAAGTATTCCTATTGTATCGCCTTTAAAATATTCTAGTAAATAATCAATTTTACTTTGGCGTAACACTGTTTTGAGTGCTGTACCATAGCGGGTAATATTTAAAACTTTGTCTTGAAAGGTAGGATATTTTATGGTGGGCAATAATAATAATGGCGCAGATTTTATTTCCTTGCGTTTTTCAATTCGGTTTGGCTTGTTAGTTACGCCCATTAATAACTTAGGAGGTGGTTCAGGTGTTGTAATGTAAAACTGGCATGCCAGGTTATTTTCTGGGGCTTTGATTTGAACACGGAAGACAAAAATATGTATTTTCCTACTGCAGATTATAGAAAATGGAAAATGTCGGTGAATTACTCCACCACCTCCTTTCAATTTTTCTTCTTTAATTTCTTTCCTTTGTTCTTCTTTCTTCACTTCAAAATCTGGGTCACAGGAGACAACAGAAATGCTGAGGTCTTGTGGTTTCTCCAGTACAAATGTGTGCTTCCCCCATAGCTGGAAAATAACTGGGGGCAAACTCTTTCCTCCCCTTTTAATGTCACATACTGTTAGTTTCTCAGGAACATAGTTGTGATCAAACAAAGCAAACACAACAGTGAAAGAGGGATGGATATGTTTTGGTCCATAAATCCCAACTGAAAGTTTTCTGTGTATATATTCCCAAACACTTACATGAGAATTAACTGTGTTTGTTTGAGCTACGACAACGATATACATCAAGTGACTAAGGTCTGTTAGTTTCACTTGTACAGTATCTTTATAAATGTAACAATTGTGTATTTTTTCAAATGGCCCTTCCTTATTGCAACTACACAGACAAACAATTTCAGTCATTACCTGACTAAAAGGATCCTTTTTTATTTCAGCTGCAATTTTCATCTCTAGTAAAATAGCTTCAGTAGTATTAAGGTTGCTCAAGGTAAGTTCAATCAAAGGGGTCAAGGTGGTTGAAAATTCATCATTTAGTGATGGTGGAGAATCAAGGATTGCCTGCAGGCCAACTTCTTGGAATTCTCCAAGTGCCACATGACTTTCAGGGAAATGAACAGCAATATCTGAGTCAGGAAGCTGCACTGAACCACCTTCATAATTCACTTTGCAGACTATATGGGTTTCTATAGATTGGGTCTGTGCCCATCCAGGACCCTGATTTATCACATTCAAATCCAGGCAAGATCGGGCCAGTTGTCGTTGATTCAACCAAGCTGTCTTATAGGCCTCACGTTGATTCTGAAATGCTTCACTTTCTGGAGGTAGGATATAATTAGGTGGTTCTGTATTAGAAAATTCACACCTTACATCTATAATATCCAAAAGATCTGAAACACTCCTAGACTTTGCAGATCTTTTAGAAGATTTGCGACAAAAGAGATATTCGATATTTAATTCATCTCCTGATGAAGCAGCAGAATCCCTACCATTTGAATCTTTAAAAAATAAATCTGGATCTTCTTTCAAGATAGATACCCGTCTATTGTTTTTTTCTTTGTTGCATGATTCAGCTATGTCATCTAAAAATGGATTAGATGCTGACAGTTCCTTCCAAAATGGATTTGTCTTAAATCCACCAGGGGCATCTTGCTTAAATTCTCCAGTCCAGTGTGATTTAAGATGCAATTCATTTTCCTTATTGTCTGTTTTTTGGGATGAGAGAGAAAAAGAAAAACGTAAATTCTCAATTTATTTAAATATAACTAGAATAAAGTGAAAGAAAACAAGTATACATTTATCCACCTAAGTTATTTTTAATTAAGAATTTCTGTGTCCATCTGGAAAATTATGATTTTCTTAAGGTTCTATTTAAATTTTAAATACAAAAACACTAAATGTAGTGTGGCCATTGTTCAGTAGTTATTTTGAAAGAATTTACTACTCCCAGACTGTCTGTGAAATAACAATTGAGCAAGTATAGAATGTAGTTCTATGTTTTCCTAGGAGTAAAATTCCCTAAATTTGGACTAAATTAGAATAAATGGTTAATATTTTTAGGATAAAATTGATATCTTCTTCAAATTAGAGTAGGCTTCAAGCTTCTTCAATGATCAATGAGACAGTCTATGAATACTGATGGGTGTTATCTATCCTAATGCGTTGTTAGGAAATGATTATTACTAACTTGTTGGGTTGGCAATATATAAACCATAAATATAGCTTTAAGACTGCTGTGTTGCTGTATTGCATCATACTGTGTCCTGATTGGTTAGCTCTGTAGCCAATGTCCTTAAGAGGGAGCTAGAAACCTGGTTTGTCTCTCTTTTTTATTTATTTTTATTTGATTTATATGCCGCCCTTCTCCGAAGACTCAGGGCGGCTTACAGTGCGTTAAGCAATAGCCTTCATACTTTTGTATATTTATACAAAGTCAGCTTATTGCCCCCACAAACTGGGTCCTCAGTTTACCTACCTTAGAAAGGATGGAAGGCTGAGTCAACCTTGAGCCTGGTGAGATTCGATCTTACTTTAATTGCAGACAGCTGGTGTTAAATTACAGTGCTCTGTCTGTTGAGCTATCCAGGCTCTCTTGATTGCTCTTTGGTGCTCATTGCTGATTTTTACTGCTCATTACTGCTATTTTCTGTGTTTTTGCTACTGTTTGCAACTGTTAATGTGTATGACTATGACGACTGGTAAGAAGGCTTTGTTATTGGATTATCCCTGGACTATTGTTTTACTATCTACTGCTTTATACTTGTATGACCTGGACTGTTTATTGGACTGTGCCTTACTATTTCCTGAAAGTAAACACACTCAGTGTATCTGTGTGTATCTGTGTGTTGGCTGTGTGTTTATTCGTAACTACTCTCAAACGCTTTCATGTGCACACCCTTGCTACTCAAGGGTTGCTCTGCGAATTCCTTAACATGCGTAACAGTTTATTTGATCAGGTTCCACTAAGCAAAGCTCTAGGTTAGTATTAAAATGCACTGTTGTAGCCCTTGGGATATATATTACTCATGGTGAGATAGTACTAATAATACCAGCACATAATTTCACTGTTGTTGTTTTTTTTATAGTCATGCATCTAACTTAAATTGCTATGTCCTGTAAGATACATGACAGGGCCTAACTTGAATTTAGTTTTTGTCTTGGGATTTCTAGAGAAGGTTTACAGATATCATCTATTCTCAATTTGCTATTCTTCTCTTGCAGGGAGGGGGGTGTCCTATTAAGACATATAATCTTATGAATTCGTGATTTTTTTCAGAAAGCAGAGTTTGTGATCATGTTACTTGCTTTGTTGACTTTGGAATGGAGAAGCAAAATAACTCACTGAAACTGTCATTGCTTAATATTTTATTCTATATAATGGAATGTTGACTTCTACCCCTCTCATGAATTTCTGCAGAAGAACCTGACACAGAAATAATGGAAGTGTTAGCAGAGCAAGATTTGCCATAGGTTGATTAGGCATGCAATATTCCTCACAACTACCCATATTAACTGACTTCATAGAAAGATTCCAAATTTTGAAATTATAAAACCAAAGTGAGGAGTGGGTGAACTTGCCACTTTTACCACCCCATTTGTAATATTATATCTTTATCTTGATTATCTCCATAGGAGCTGCCTGAATTTATCTGTATTTAAAAGTTCAGAAGACTAGCTCTGGTAAGTAACTTGAATAAGAGACCACAGGTAGTCCTCAACTTAGTAAGCACTCAAAGTTATAACAGACTTGCCTCTCAAAGCTACTTATTACCCTGTTGTTCCAAAAGTGCTTTCCCAAAAGGCAACTGGACTTCCTTGGTTTTTTTCTTTGAAAACATTTTGCTTCTCATCCAAAAAGATTTCTCAGTTCTAACTTAGACCAGACCAGACCTCAGACCAGATGAAAGAAAGAGAAAGAAAGGAAGGAAGGAAGGAAGGAAGGAATGAAGGAAGGATGGATGAATGAATGAATCCACTTGCCCTTTTGGAAAAAGCATCTTTGGGACAACCATTGACAATTTCCATAGACACCTATGACCTTGTTCTGACGTTTTGACATCTACTCACATTCCCATGGTCACATGACCACATTTTGGATGCTTGGTTCACCTTTATGGCTGATTGCAGCATTCTACTGTCACATGAACATAATTTATGACTTTTTTTGTTAGTTTTTGGCAAAAAACTGTCCATAGGAATACATTGATTTCCTTAATGGCCATGATATTCATTTAATGACTATGGTGTTTGCTTAACTACTGCTGCAAAAAATTATGTCTGGTCACATGAGTGCCTTAATTGTTGGACTCTATTATAATCATAAATTGAGGATTACCTATACTACTGGTAGTAATATGAGTAAGAGACTACTAGGGAGTATAAAGGCTTACAGGAACACTGGGAAATAAAAAAATTCCAGAAGGTAGTAGCAATCCCCTTGTCTACTTCTGCCAAGAAATCTACATAGATGTATCCATGAAATCACCAGAAAGCGAGATGAAGGCATAGGAGGCTTTTTTTAAAATACTAAATAATAATCATTTTATTTTTATAATTTTAACACTAAAAGCCCCCAACTATTACAATTGTACTTCATAGTGGAATTATTCATTCTGATCATCCTTCTCTGTACATTTATTCTCTAAATATTCTTGACAAATTTTATATGTTTGTATTTTAAAAGAAAAAACATGAATTATATTTGCCTCTCTTCATTATAGTCAAAGGCCTGATGCTGAAGGGGCAGCCATTTTTGTATTCTTCCAAAATTCTCACCCATACTGAAAACATCTAGCTAAACATCAACTTTACCACCATTACTACTTATATAGAATATCTCCAGAAAATCAAACCATTGTCCCTGGGAATGTGATTTTGTGATAAATACTTTTTCCTAGAACTACATTTAACTTTAAAAAAAAAAAGCAATGGCTGTAGTGGTGGAGCAAAATCACATATAAGAAGTTCCATTTTTTTCCATTTTGCTTTGATAGCAGAATATTTATTTTCTTCTTAAAATTTAACAGCAAATTACATTTTCTGTGCAAGTAGTAGAGCTGTCAGTTACATACCTATCCAATCATTTCTTGTAAGGCTTCCATCATCCAAGTCAAACAAAGATCCTTCTGATTTGCTCCATGAAAATTCCTTTAAATGACAGGAAACAGACATTTTTCTTCCTAGATGATTTAAAATAAATTTGTAAACAAATGGAGAACTACTTAAAGCTGCAAACATAATTTAAAATGTAGCATGGGAATCAATATCTAAATAATTTTTTAGGCACGTATGAGCCCAAAGAGCTCTTCAAACAAACCTCTTTATTAAGGCAATCTTTTCTGTGCATAGAACAAAGAAGCCAATTAACATAAGACTAATTTCTTTTCTATATAAATTATGTCTAGATGTAATATTAAAGTATTGCATATGGTCTATTCTAATAGGCTGCATGTTCTTCTGGCTTAAATGTCCAAAATTTGTTTATGTGACATAGCAAAGCTATACAATTATTGTAGATAAGACAGACAAAAAAATATAACATAACAATCAAAATACAACTTTCCTTTTTAGAGTAAACGAAACAACAATAGATAACTTATCCCTTCAGATAAGTATAGGCAATACCATTTTTAACTACACTTCGCTATATTGACTAAGAGATTATAAAAGTTGAAATTCAAAATTCCTGGATATTATTAATTTGCCTATTATGTGTAAGTATTATATAGTTACTAGAGAAGAAATACATACATCCTAATAGTAGTGATAATTATAAGACTATAGTGATATACAGCATTGTATAATGGAATTTAACATGATTAGTTTTGATGGATATGCAAAGAATTGCTCAAAGCTAAGAACAGATGTGTAGCTATTAGTTGGAATTCCATATAGAGGTATGTTAGCATAATTGACAAAAATTAAAGACTTGGATTAATTTCTGCCCTTAAGCATGGAAGTTAATAGAGATATTTCTATCTCTAAAATCAAGTGCTCTGATATCTAGATCAGTGGTCACCAACCGGTGGTCTGCAGACCACTGGTGGTCCACTAGAAAATTTTGGTGGTCCGTGGAGAAATCTTCGTATTTTTGCCGGTGCACCCTGATGGAAGAGCTGCTCTGGGATGACCAATGGGCCAGTCCTGTGAGTGTGACTACTACAGCTCTGGAATATGGGACCGGCCGTGGCGGGGCTAGAAATCTCTGCCCCGGGGTGGCACATGCAATGCGCAAATTTGCAGGTGGTGCAATACAGAAAAAAGAGCGGAGCCGTCTCTGTCCGGAATGAAATAATGGTGCTGTTACCACGGCAAGGGAAGGGAAAGTGCAAGCAGGCTGAAGCAGCGATTGCGATAGCTGGAAGCTGTGGGCGTGAAGCACTACTTGCACTTGTGTGACATCAGCATTCTGCATCAGTATAATTGCGCCAACCGGTGGCGCAAAGCAGCCCTCGTCTCCTGCCGCTTGGGACTTGGAGCGGTAAATGGCGACTGGTCCAAGGAGTAGTCGGATTTTGCTCTCCATTGCAGATGCCAGATTGGCCCCCTGCAAGCTCTCATCTCTTGAGCAGTCCGGCCGAAGTTTCCCGAGCCACTTCAGCGAGCACTCTTCAAGAGACGAGATCTTGCAGGGGGCCAATCTGGCATCCACAATGGAGAGCAAAATCCATCTGCTCCCTGGACCAGACGCTGTTTTACTGCTCTGAGTTCCAAGCAGCAGGAGACAGTTGCTTTGCGCCACTGGCTGGTGCAAATATACCGAGGTGGAATGCTGATGCTGCGCAAATCCTGATGCTGCACTACTGCAGAGAGAACAAGGAGGATTTTGCTCTCCATTGCGGATGCCAGATCAGCCCCCTGCAAGCTCTCATCTCTCAAGGAGCGTTTGCTGAAGCAGCGTGGGAAATTCGGCCGGGCTCCTTGAGAGATGAGAGCTTGCAGGGGGCCGATCTGGTGTCTGCAATGGAGAGCAAAATCCGGCTGCTCCCCAGACCAGTCGCCGTTTACCACTCCGAGTCCCAAGTGGCAGGAGATGAGAGCTGCTTTGTGGCACCGGCTGGTGCAAATATACCAAGGCGGAATGCTGATGCCGCAGAAGTTCAAGTAGTGCTTCGCTCCCGCGCTTCTTCTGGCCCTTGTTGCTGCTCTGCGCACCTCGGTTTCTCAGGGAAATGCTTGACTTCCTCTCAGCCCCATGACATTGGCTGGCCCATGAGATGAGAGAGAAAGAGAATCAGAGAGAGAATGAAACAGAGAGAATGAGAGAGAAAGAGACAGAGAGAGAACGAGAGAGAATCAGAATGAGACAGAGAGAGAGAAAGGATAAGGATAAGGATAATTTTATTTCTATACCGCCCCTCTCCCGAAGGACTCAGAGCGGTATACAGCCAGGTAAAAACACAATACAAATAACACAATTTAAATTTAAAAAATTATTAAAAGTATTACATTTAAGGCCAATTAACTAAAAAACCCAAAAATTTAAGAATTCCAAATTTAAAACTCAATTTATGAAGCTAGCCCTGCCTGTCGGAAGAGCAGGGTCTTAAGAGCACAGCGGAAAACTCGGAGGTCAGAGATCTTGCGTATGTCCGGGTGCAGTTCATTCCAAAGGGCAGGGGCTCCCACAGAGAAGGCTCTCTCCCTGGGTGTCGCCAGCCGACATAATTTGGCCGATGGCACCCTGAGGAGTCCCTCTCTGTAGGAGCGAACTGGACGGTGGGAGGCTATCGGTAGCAGAAGGCGGTCTCGTAGGTACCCAGGTCCTGAGCCATGGAGCGCTTTAAAGGTGGTAACCAACACCTTGAATCGTACCCGGAAGACCACTGGGAGGTCTCTGTCTCTGAAAGAGACAGAATGAAAGAGAATCAGAATCAGAATCAGAATGAAAGAATGAGAGAGACAGAGAATGAAAGAGAGAGAGAGAATCAGAGAGAGAATGAAAGAGAATCAGAGAGAGAGAATCAGAATGAGAGAGAGTAGGGGAGAAAGGGGGGAGAGATGAGAGAGAGAGAATGAGAGAGGGGGGAGAGAGGGGGGAAAGAGAGTTGAGAGAGAGAGAATGAGAAAGAGAGAGGAGGGAGAGTGCCTGAAGGACCCCATTCAGTCACTAGGAGTCCAGGCGCTTCAGCAAGCAGCGCACTGGATTCGTATTAGTGGTCTGCGGCATTTAAAATTATGAACCTGGTGGTCCCTGAGTTTCAAAAGGTTGGGGACCCCTGATTTAGATAACATTTGTGTATCTACAAATTTCTTGATGAACTCTCTGGCTGCCTAGTGCCTCTAAGTCCCATAATGAGTCTAAACAGATTCACAGAAAATAAAATGTCTGGTAACTACAGTCTTGCTTTCTGCTCTATGGGCATTTGGGGATTGGCTATTCCACCACACCAATTATTTTGTGAGGGTCCATAAGATACTCTCAAAATTCCAAATGTGTCCCCCAGTAGAAAAAAAAATGTTGGTGACATTTGAAATTCTTATGCGCTGAATATTAGTATATTACATTAATATAAACAGTGTATTAAAAAAATTAGATTTAAAAATTGATAATGTGTTATTAACTATGTAAATTTATTGAGATGATTTTTGTTTCTTATTTTCAACAATAGCTTCATCAATATAAAACTATCTTTAATTAATTTAGTGGTCATGAACAAAATATAGTTTTCTGACTACAACATTAGCTTATCTTATAAAAAAATGCTATTGACAATTAAGTCTTCTTCTAATGACTTTTTTTTAGAGCCAGGGATACTTAGTTGATTTTATACCTTTATCATCCAATGTGCTTGATGTAGACATAGTAAAGTATTCACTTTATCTAATAAAAAAAACACTCTTTCTTCAATAAACAATTGGGTCTATATTTTATTGCTAAAGCATCTTTTTTTAAAAAAAATCTGCCTTCCATTGATAACAGAGGAGGTGCCAATACTTCTCCAGTTAATATCTTGTGCTTTCACTTCACCCCAGCAGGTGGCATCATCCGATATTATCCAAAGCTAAATAGGCCTGATGATGGATGACCTCCCAGAAGGTGGGAATGGAAAACCACTGTCTTATTTGTCAACTCCTTTAACTGAAGAGTATGATTTAGGAAACAAGATTCACATGGATTTTAACTGTTTTAAAATCAGGAATCAGGAATTAAAAGACATAATCTTGTCAACAGATATCCTCATCTATTAATGACATTATTAAGGTGGGAGCACTCTTTGAAACCTTTAAATGTCTTTTTCCCTGTTTGGTTTCATGAAGAGCGAAGAATGTGGTCCAATGAGATCAAGATGAACTTATTTGGTTCAGGTGGTGTCAAGCGTGTGTGGCAGCAACCAGGTGTGGAGTACAAAGACAAGTGTGTCTTGCCTACAGTCAAGCATGGTGGTGGGAATGTCGTGGTCTGGGGCTGCATGAGTGCTGCTGGCACCGGGGAGCTAGTTTATTGAGGGAACCATGAATGCCAATATGTACTGTAACATACTGAAGAAGAGCATGATCCTCTCCCTTCGGAGACTGGGCTGCAGGGCAATATTCCAACATGATAACGACCCCAAGCACACCTCCAAAATGACCACTGCCTTGCTAAAGAAGCTGAGGGTAAAGGTGATGGACTGGCCAAGCATGTCTCCATACCTAAACCCTATTGAGCATCTGTGGGGCATCCTGAAATGGAAGGTGGAGGTACGCAAGGTCTCTACATCCACCAGCTCCATGACATTATCATGAAGGAATGGAAGAGGACTCCAGTGGCAACCTGTGAAGCTCTGATGAACTCTATGCCCTAGAGGGTAAGGCAGTGATGGAAAATAAATGGTGGCCACACAAAATATTGACACTTTGGGCCCCATTTGGACATTGTCACTTAGGGGTATACTCACTTTTGTTGCCACCAGTTTAGACATTAATGGCTGTGTGTTGTGCTATTTTGAAGGGACAGCACATTTACACTGTTATACAAGCTTATACTCACTACTTTACATTGTAGCCAAGTGTCATTTCTTAAGTGTTGTCACATGAAAAGATATACTTAAATATTTACAAAATATGAGGGGATGTACTCCTGTGATATACTGTACATAAAATATAGTTAATGTATATAAATCACATAATAATATTAAAGTTTACAATCTTGTGTGCTGCAAGACTAGCTGTCCAGGAAGATGCTTTTATTTTGTCC